CATGGGAACGAGGACTCGTAGCATGATCTTCATTGTGGGTGGAAGGGTCACACAAGTGAGAGTTAAAAGATATCAAACTTAAGATAAGAACTTTTAAGAGTGGGCTGGATAACGCCAAATTTCTCAGTGTGGGCAGGCCCATGGCTCTGTTCATCCCAGAGGGCTCTTAAGTAGCATAATGGGAGCCAGGACTTGGGAAGTTTACTTTTCCTGAGTCTTTTTGGCCAAGGTAGAGGATTCTGATGGTTTTTATCCCATCAGAATCTGCTCTGGTGGCAACCTTGTGTTTGAAAGATTTCGTCGGGGGGGAGGGACATTAACACGACAAAATGTCTTCCAGATGTTTCCTGGACTCTACCAGGGAGGAAACTACATATTCAGATTCCATGCTTCTCAGCCCCACCCCTGGTTTTAACACCCCAGGAAAAATATACAGTAGTACCTCGGTTTGTGAATGCCTCAGGTTACATAATTTTCAGTTTACGAATCGAAATCCATAAGAAATAAAGGCTCGGTTTACGTTGTTTTCTCTCTTTTTTGCACTACGAAAGGGTTTTACCAGAGCACATTGCGCCTATAGCGCCACCCCTTTCGTAGTGCAATTGGTGTTTCGGTTTGCGAAATTTCTGTACTACATAATGTTGCGTACAACAGATCCATTTCACAATCCGAAGTACTACTGTAAAGAGCGTCGCTGAGAAGGCTCAGCTCACAACTCCCTCATGAGCAGTTAGTTTTCAGTGCAGAGGGAATTTTTTTAAAATATGGGCAGCAATCCATCATGCAGTTCTTCTGTCCCAGTCCAGAATACACAAGCATCTTGTGCAAAGCCTGTAATTCCAACTGAGATATTCTCGTTGGGTCACAGACTGGCTAGATTTCTGTGGCTTTTCCGAGGAGATAACAGCTATATCTTCCTGAAGCTTTAAACCTTCATTTGGGATTTTTGCAAGGGGAACCCAAGGCCTAAGTCACGTTGCTGTGATATAAGCCAACTCCCAAGGCCAGCAGTTGGATATTTCCAGCAGTGCTTCCCGGAGAGGAAAAACACCCTCATTGAGTCATTCACACAAGATTATTCTATTATTCAATTCATTCACAATCTATTATTTAATTTAACTCATTCCTGCATACGTCCATAGAAGCATCACCACCCCCTTCTGTATGATACCTTGCACGTAATATTTTGGAAGATAACATGGGAGCAGCTGTATTAATTTTTCAAGGCTATATAAACTGAGTTAGCGCTAGAGTGCCTAGAAAACTGTGTAGCTGACTGGTTGGATAGCTGAGTAGTTTAGGTATCTGGCTGAAGAGCCTGAGGTTGGGAGCTCAGTCTTTTTTTGGAGAAGAGCCGGCCTGTGTGGCCTTGGGCAAGCTGCACAGTCTCAGGGCACCTTCAGAAGAAGGGAACGGTAAACCACTTCTGAGTATTCTTTACAGAGAAAACCTTGGAAAGAGTCCACCATAAGTCAGAATTGACTTGACAACACAATATTATTATTAGAGTACCTGCATGATCTAGAGCAGGGGTGTCCAACCTTTCACCTTCCCTGGGCCACATTAGAAGATGAAAATTTGGTTTGGGCAGCACATACATTTGGTTTGGGCCACATGGGGGGGCAGCCCTAGCTGTCCTCCACAGCCCCGCTCCAAGTGCGCTTACCGGCAGCTGCGATCTCAGACAGCAGAGGCTGCCAGCTTCGACTCTGGTGGATTTATGGGGCCGGGAAGGGGTCCACCTATTGATGGGGATGGCACAATGCAGTCACACAGCCCTCCTCTCCCCATCCCTTCCACTCCTTCCTTCCTTCCC